CACAGGGTGGTGACCACACACTCACCACCCCCACCCCTGCCCAGGAAAACAAAGGCTTGTGGCAACGCAAAATTAGGAGGAATCTTGGGGGCCCGTCCAGAGGGTGTGGGTGGCTCACAGGTGGCCCCTCAGGCAGGGTGGGCGCTTCGACAGCCAGACCTCTGGAGTCCAGCAGCCCGCCCCCGGCTGTGCGGGGCTTCGTGGTGGGCGTGCCTGGGGCTGGGGCCCGCGCGGTGGTAGGCGGGCCCTGAGCCCAGGTGGGGTGCAGGAAGGGCTCTGGTTTCCTGAGATGAGGGAAGGAGCCCTCCCAGGCGGCTGGGCGTCACCTCACCTGCCCCCCGGAGCTCAGCTGGTGGAGTCATCCGTGAGGGGAGGACGGGCAGGGAGCTTGTCACCGGCCACTGCTGGCCCTAGGAAAGGCCACTCCATGTCCTCTGTGTCCTGCTGGGGCTTGGGGGAGGCAGGGGCGGCCAGCAGACGTTGGGGACCTCAAGGCTGGGTCTTGCTGGACGGGACCACTGCACCCTCCTGGAGCGCAAAAGCTGGCGTGCGGGACGGCAGCGCCGGACACGGCTCCCCTAAGGCCAGGTCCCTACCAGGCAGGAGCTTCCCGGAAGCCCCCACTCCCATCGCGGGCCCCACCAGTCAGGGGTTCCTTCCCAGCCTCCTCAAGTCTCAGGAGCTCCTGGAAGATCCCAGAGGTTGGTGTCCCGGGGGAGCCGCAGCCCCTCACTCCCAGGCTCGCCTAAGCATGTGGAGGAGGGGCTGTTTCACGAGGATGTGGACACACAGTTCCGAGCCCAGCACGGCCTGTGACATCCGCCCCTGAGGAAGAGGCTTCAGTCCTCTGAAGGCTGTGCTGGCCGGATTCCAGCTCCCGGAGGCCTCAGTGTCCCTGGGAGACCGAGCCAGGCCCAGAGCCCAGGGGACTCCGAGCCTGAGAAGCCAGTGCAGGCCCCCCAGGGCATCCTGTGTGCATGGCGGCCATGACCTGCTGGGTGGGCTTCAGGGCAGGGCGCTGGGCCGGGGAGCGCATGGGTAGTGAGGATGCCGGGCTCCGCCCTCGGAGGCTCCTCCAGCACCCTGGGCTCTGGAGAACGGGCCCACTCTGTGTCGGGAGAGCCGGGCAGCCGGACTGTGTCTCTGGGGAAGAGGCAGGCACGGCTGTCCCAGAACTCCTGAGGACTGCTCCAGGCAGGGGGCACCCGGGTCTCCTGGGGAGAGCTCCCTGTGGGCACGGGGCACAGACCCAGGCACCCTTTCCCCAAGACACTGGGGGCATGGGCAGAGCAGGTGTCCTGCTCTGAATGTCGCCTCTGATGGGGAAACCCTCAGTCATCCCCCTCCCTGCCGAGTGACTCATGCTGGTGGTGCCTGGCTCCGAGGACGTCAGAAAGGGCTGCCTGCCCCGGCACTGGTCACCAGGCTGGCAGTCAGGCCTGGCATCCACATGTCAGCTTGGGCAGGGCGTGAATAGAAGACAGGAGAGCCTTTGACGGCCCAGGACAGACAGGCCCCAAGGACCCTGGAGAGCCAACACCCCCGCAGGGCCCAGCGGGCACGGTCAGTTCCAGGCACCGCTGGGCTGAGGGCATGGCTGCTTGGGGTGGCCTGTCTCCTCCAGCCCTACAGGAAACGGTTCGGGTGTCCCAGCTGAGAGCGTTAAGGGGCTAACACCTACCCAATGCGTGTACCCCCAAGCCACCAGCCCCTCCTGGGGGACGCTGTTCGCCAACAGCACCTAGGACCGTGGTTCTGGAACGTTCCCTGCGTGGTCGTCCTCAGCAGATCAGGCCCCTCCCTGGGACTGTCTCCCCAGAGCCTGCTCCGGCCCAGCGCAAGGCCTCAGCTCCCCTCCCTGGGCCCCTGTGAGCTGTGAGGCTCTGAGCTGTGGGCCCCCGAGCCCTTGGTGTTTCTGAGCGGATTTCTTCTCTTCTGGCTCAGGGCTGTTCCTGCCGGTGCCGCGTCGTGTCTTCAGAACACGCGTGTAAAGTACGCGGGAACCTCAGGTGCTGTTTCAACACAGCAGACACCGCGGGGTCTGGGAACCTCCCGAGGCACCTCTGTGGCTGGCTCTGAACCACGTCGGGCGCGTATCCCGGGCCTGTCTTCAAGGGTTGGGGTGCCGTCCACATGTGCACACAGCACAGCACTGGTCTGGCCACTGCTGAAGGGCACCGGCTTGTCTGGGGTTTGGTGACTCTGAACGGAGCAGCGGTGAACGTTTGGGTTTATGTGTGAGCCTCCCTCGTTTCTCTTGAGCAGGGACCCAGGAGCGGGACTGCAGGGCCTTTGGCTGTGACGAGACGCTGTCCTCAGTGGCTCTGCCACATTGCATGGCCGGCTGTGGGTGGGCATGCCCGCCACCCGTGGCCTGCTCAGCTCAAAGTGCTGGCAGGTCGTTTATGTGATTGTCTGAGCCCCCCGGAGAGCGCACGGGGGCTTCTGTGGTTTCTGTCCACACGCCGACGGCGCTAACGCGTCCGCCTCTCCACGTGCCTGTTCGCATGCACACACGCGTCTTCTCTGGTGGTGTCTGCCTCAGATATCCTGCCCGTCTTTTTACGTGGATTTTCCCTCACTGCCGAGCTTGAAGAGTCCTTTGCGTGTCTTGGAGGCGAGTCCTTTCGCAGGCGCGTCACCCGGCTGCGGCCTGTCTTCCCGCTCTCTTGCTGGTGGCTTCTGAGAGCGCAGTTTCCAACATTTTGATAAAGCCCAGTTCATCCATTTTTTCCATATAGATCATGTTTTGTTGCCATTTCTAAGAAAGTATCGCCTCACCCCAGGTCACAGAGATCTTCTGTGCGTTAGAAGCTTCAGTTTCATAGTTAAGACAGTCCTCTATTTTGAGTTAGTTTTGCATACAGAGTGAAGTATAGATCACGGTGCATTGCACTCTGCACAGGGGTCAGCAGCTGCTCAGCTCCGCGGCGGACGGGGCGGTCCTCTCTCTGTGCTTCACTCTGCACCCGCCCCCTTGGCAGGCGGCCTCCGTGCGCTGAGCGGGACCCCGCACGCAGCTGCTTTGCAGTCAAGTCTTGGAATTGGGCAGTCAGTCCTCTGACTGTTCTCACTTCTCAAAATTGTTTTGGCTGTGCTAGGCCCTCTGCTCGTTGAATTCTGGAAAGCTTTGCTGGGGTTTTATGGGTGATTTGTCTCCTGAATCGTGGTCACTGTGGATTCTGCAGCTGGGAGTGCCTGCAGAATGCGTGGCCTGCGGGGTGTAGCCTTCTCGTGCCGTTCCAGAGGCTTCCCTGGTGAAACACAGGTGCCCTTTGCAGAGCTGAGCCTCGTCCACAGGATCTCGTTTTAAATACTGAAAAACCTCACTTTGGGTTGGTTGTGGTAGATCTGATCAGAGGAGAAAAATGTTTTCTAACTAAAATTGTTATACGAAAGACCAAGAGTCACTGGAGAACCTCTCTGAAATCGCTGGAATGGCCTGTAACGGGAGGATGTTGTGGGGCGTGGAGTGTGTGCACCTCTGCCCACCAGGCTCTGCGGCTCCGAGTGGGGGCAGAGCACGGGGGGCTGCCTGGAGGGCTTTGGAGCCAGGGGGTCTGAGGTGGGGGCCTGTACCCATGCTGCCAACTGTCCTGGGGCAGCAGCCCCTCCTCACGCTGTCCCTTTGTGGGGGACACCGCCACCTGGGATCCCAACACAGACAGAGCTGGGGCCCCCAGCAGGTCTCAGGATCCCCAACTCCCCCCGCAGCTGGATGGGGCTGTGGTGGCCCCGGGAGGAGGAGGTGGGCACCGCTCCCTAAGGGCTCTCCCCCCGCCACCCCAGCAGAGTGCGGCGTCCTGCAGGGCTGTGGCAGCATCCAGCTGGGTATAGAGGACCTGCTTCTGCAAAGCTTTCTTCCAGGAGAGTTTGGATTTGCAGCGCTGCCAGGGCAGCCATGGGCAACCCCCCATATAGGCACTGAGGAATGAGAGCTAAGCAGAACCCTGGCACAGTTAGGGCTTGAAGAATATCTCAATTTATAGTGTTACTACTCAGCAATTTCCTTTTATATGATCCTTTAATAATCATATATTAGTTTATAGAATTAGGACTTGAAGAATCCCTTTATAAAATCCTCTCTAAATAATCATATAATAGTTGATAGTATGAGCGCCTGAAGAATATTTCCCTACATATATACCTATAATTATATCTTAGTTCATAATCGGAGGAATGCCTAGAGCAGACACAGTGCAGAGCATGGTTTAAGGGAAGACAGTTATACCAGGACAAGAATCCACGGCCCAGGCGGCAGCGTTCAGTATCGTAAAGACACCCGCTGTGTGGCAGGCGTGGGGCGAGAGCCACTCCTCCTGATCAAGGAGCTGTAGGACCCTGCTCCGGTTCTTGCGGAAGGCTGCCCTCAGACCGGCAATCCACCTTGGGGACTGTGAACCTCATCAGCTCTTGTTACTGTGCTGCTTGAAAAGCATCTTCCCATAGAAGCCACTGGAAGCTGCCAGAAGGTGGCGGTAACCCTGACAGCGCTGTCACTGCTATGTGACTTAAAGCATCCCCCCATAAATCTTCCTTAGAAGTAGTTTCCCATAGGCAGAAGTATTGCACACGGCACCCTCTTCACTGCGCACGGCCCACCTTCAAGCCTCGGCGACCTAATGGGGGTGGACCCCATGTTTTATTGCTCACGACCCTATCACTGTCCTTAAAGATGATTCCACTCACTGCGCTGCCCCCAACCTATACACAATAAATACTCAGGCTTCTGGACATTCGGGGCCTCGCCTGACTCCGCTCATAGGTGGCGTGGCCCCCTGAGCCCAGCTGCGTTTTCTTTGTACTTCTGTGTCCTGCCTCTTTATTTCTCGGATCCGGCACCTCAGCACAGCATAAGGCTCACCCGCGACCCTGCGGGCCCTCAGCCCTACAGGCGGCTGCCTGCGGGCGAAGCCTGTGGGCTGCTGTGCTGTGGACCCACGCGGGGAGGGCACCCTGAGCCGGCCCGGGCCCAGCCCTAAGTCACCGTGTCCCTGCAGAGGGAAGTCTTGCCGGACCATCACCTTTGAGCAGTTCCAGGAGGCGCTGGAGGAGCTCGCCAAGAAGCGATTCAAAGACAAGAGCAGCGAGGAGGCGGTTCGCGAGGTGCACAGGCTCATCGAGGGCAAGGCGCCCATCATCTCCGGGGTGACGGTGAGCGGGGCGGGACCGAAGGCAGGGCGTGGCGGGCGCTGGGGGCGTGGCAGTGGGCGGTGCCTGGGGCGTGGTCAGGAGGGGCATGGATTGCGGCGTGGTCTTGTCGATGGGCGGTGCCTGAGGAGGCGTGGCAAGGAGGGCGGGGTTGGGGGCGTGACCCGGGCGATTCGTGGGAGGCGTGGTCAGGGGAGGCGTGGCCAGAAGGGGCAAGGATTTCGGGGCGTGTCCTGGAGGGTGGAGCCTGGCTGTCCTGACAGCCCCTTCCTTCCCTCTGAGGGTGCAGGCCATAGGGTCCTCAACTGCATAAACACCAGGTGGAGCTGGGCAGTTGTTAGGGTTGTGGCATCTCACAGGCCCAAGGCTGCCCCAGGGCCAGGTGAAGTAAAAATAAAAATGAAAATGTAAAGGAGCATAGATCACAGGCTTTATGCCCCTTGCCCACCATCCCACCGCCCGCAGACCTGCTTAGGGCGCAGCCACCTCACCTGGCTCGCAACTCACCTGCCCCCTTTCCCCCACTCCTCTTGCAGAAAGCCATCTCGTCGCCCACCGTGTCGAGGCTCACAGACACCACCAAGTTCACGGGCTCCCACAAGGAGCGCTTTGACCCCTCTGGCAAGGGCAAGGGCAAGGCCGGCCGCGTGGACCTGGTGGACGAGTCGGGCTACGTGTCCGGCTACAAGCACGCGGGCACCTACGACCAGAAGGTGCAAGGGGGCAAGTAGCCCCCCTGTGCCCGAGGCACTGCGCGTGTCCCCGGAGCAGGGACTCTGTCACCTCACACTTCATTACATTCCTGTGCTCACTCGGGCAGAACTCATACCAGTGCCCCAGCGGGGGCTGTGGGGAGGCCAGGCCCAGGCCTCCCTCCTGCCCCTCCTCCTGCCAGATGCCCCCAGCACTTCCCTCTCAAACCAGGTTTGGGCCCCAGTTCACTGACTCCCCTAATACACCGTCTCGTCCTCAGCAGGGAAGAGGACAGCTGTTTCCAACATGTCTCCCGGATCACGCCACGTTGGGCACGTGTTTTGCAGGTCAAAGGGGTGTTTTAAAGGAGCGGGCTGTCGTGGCAACAGGAGGCCATGCTGACCTCCTGACCAGCAGACCCCTTCCAGGAGCTCTGAGGGCGGCAGGCGCTAACACCAACCAGCAGGCAGCTAACACGAGTCGGCCCCACCCCAGACGTGGGAGGTGTCTGTGGGGCCAAGGCCTGTCCTGCGTGCAGTGGACACCACAGGGCCTGCCTGCTTTCCTGGGCAGAGGGGAGACTCGGCCCACCAGGCAGGTGAACTGGGTGCCTAGTGCAGGTGTGGGGAGGCTGGCCACACGGACACACGTGTGCACACGTGCCTACGGGCCAGCTCTGTGCCCAGGGCACAGCCTTGGTGAAAAGAAGGCTGTGGGGAACAGAGGGTGGCTTCCCGGCTGACCACAATGCCCTGGAGTGTTAGGCTGGAGTTGGCTCCCTCTGCTTTCCGGAGAAAAGCTGCCTGTCATTCTCAAGTGGGTCTGGGAAGATTCGGAGTGTCTGATCCCCGTGGTGTCACCAGGCAGGAGGCACTCCTCACCTAACACGTGGCAGGGCCTCTACCTGGCCTTGCCCTCACTAGCTGCACCCTGCTTGCTCACAGACCTCCTACCCACAGCCCAAGCACCTCCTTCAACTCTCCCTAAATGGCCCCGCCTGACCTCTCCCAGCCTCTCCCCTCAGAGAGCAGGACACCAGGGAGGACCCCAGGCCTGCAGCATCTGTGGGGGCTTCTCTGCTAGTGGGTGGCCCAGCAGAGCCTGTCCAGGACCCTCTGCACTGCCAGGACACCCAGGCTGCCCACCCTTGCCCATCTGCACCTGGGGAGAACCCGGTGCTCCTGCCCGCTCCTGGGACAGCTGACGGGCGTGGCCACTGTCACAACAGCCCCACTGCCACTGTCCCTTGGCACGCACACAGCCACAGCCTCTCGTGTGACCTGCTGGGCCGTGGGTCTGGAGCCCACCTGGGGAGGAGCCTGCAGCAGTCTCGGGGAAATGCTTCTGAGCCTGTTTGTCGGTGGCCACGGTCAGGCTCTGGCCAGGGCCAGGCTCACAGTACAGGACAGCGAGGTCTCTCCACCGCCATGGCACGTGTGAGCACCACCCTCCTCCCCACTCCCAAGAGTGCACCTGCTGCAGCCACCACGCCATGGCAGACTCCCCCCACCTGGGCACAGCAGGAGCCCCAGAGCCTGAGCTCCCAGCCAGCATGGTCCGCCCAGACCTGGGGAGTCTCCGAGGCCCCTTGGCAGGGAAGCCTCAACCTGAGGACGGGGTCTTGGCAGGCAGCTTCCATGACAGGTCCTGGAAGTTCATGGTGCCTGGCAATAAAGACGGAGGAATAATGGACTCAGGCTTCGTGACTGCTTTAGGACGTCGACATCACCTCGCCAGCTTGGGGAGGGCGGGGGACGAACAAGCCCAGCCCTGTGCCCTCGCTGAACCTGGCTGGACCACGTGTGAAAGGCAGAACTAACATGCGGGAAGCATTTGAAAAAAACTCTGAATGTGCAAAGTGTGGAATCACGCAATCACACACCACCACCACCACAACCCCAAAAGCCCTTGAAGAGACCGAGGACAACGGTCACTGAACAGGGCGGCTCCCCAGGTCCCGAAGCCTGAGACCTGAGGACCCTGCACCCTACCCCTCGTGCTCCTGCCTGCCTCAGCCTCCCTGGTGCCAGCGCAGCTCCACCCTGGGCTGGGTCTCCTAGTCCGTGGGCAGCCCGGTCCCCACAGTCACAGCCAAGTCACGCAGAATGAATGTGACTCGAGGACCCCAGCGCTGGAGCTGAGGGCGCTGGGTCAGGACGGAGGGACAGGTGGGTTGGGGTCTGTTTGTCCCCACACCGTGTGGCAGGCAGAGGCTTGCCCAGGCCCTGCTGCAGTCTGTGGGGACGAGGGACACAGGACAGGTGCTGGGCGCAGGACGCTGCCTCCTAGTCCCTGGGGCCTTGAGAAAAGAGCCAAGCTGCGTCAGGAGCGACCAGAAGCTGGACCTGAGCACGAGAAGCGCCTCCGCCCAGCCCAGCCACCACCAACCTCGCAGGGAGCAGGCCCTGTCACTGCCGGCCACCTCGCCCACGCCAGGCTACCTTGTCCATGCCAGGCCACCTCGTCGACGCACCAGCACCGACTCACCACAGCCCTCCCCAGACCTGGCCAGAGTGGCTGGAGCCGCGGGGCCCATGGCGTCCATCTTGGCCCTGGAGGTGAGCTCCTTCACAGAAGTGGCCCCTTCACTCCAAGGGATGTCACGGCGTGTGTCCCAAACCTTTGGACACGCCTGTGGGTTCCGTGAATGAAATCGAGGCTGCTGTGGCACCCTGTCCGTCCTACCTGGAGCATCCTGGGCTCTTGGAGGGAGAGGCCCCATGCCCCCGCTCTCCCTCCACACTCCCAGAGTCAGAGGGGCGGCCTCCCTGGCGTCCTGCCCTCCCCTGCGGCCCCCAGGCTGTCCTCAGACATGCGGGAGCCAGGAGAGTGCCCTTCCCCACTCAGCTCCAAAGCAAACCTTTGAAAATACCTACCCTGCTCCTGTCTCTGTCACCTAACCAGGAGGGGTAGCAAAAATGAAGTCATGAGGACACAGCAGGCACCACTGTCAGCTAAAACCTGTCTGCGGAATCTGTGATTCTGTCCGTCCGCTGCACAGGAGACCCGTGCATCTTCCTCAGTCCGTTTCTGAATATTGTGAATTCCAGGCAGATGTTTTTTCTCTTCTGCATGTTTTTTTGCACTGCCAATTAGCTTCTACTAACCATGTTTCAACAGAAAATAAATGTGTATTTGTGATCAAAGAAACTGCACAGCCTGCAAACCAGGAGAGAGGGACAGGTTCTGCCGGGGGTGACACCAGGAGAGAGGGACAGGTTCTGTGGGGGTGACACCAGGACACAGGGACAGGTGCTGTCGGGGGTGCCACCAGGAGAGAGGGACAGGCTGTCGGGGGTGCCACCAGGAGAGAGGGACAGGCTCTGTTGGGGGTGACACCAGGAGACAGGGACAGGCTCTGTCGGGGGTGACACCAGGACACAGGGACAGGTTCTGTCGGGGGTGCACCAGGAGACAGGGACAGGCTCTGTCGGGGGTGACACCAGGAGAGAGGGACAGGCTCTGTTGGGGGTGACACCAGGACACAGGGACAGGTTCTGTCGGGGGTGACACCAGGAGAGAGGGACAGGCTCTGTCGGGGGTGACACCAGGAGAGAGGGACAGGTTCTGTGGGGGTGACACCAGGAGAGAGGGACAGGTTCTGTGGGGGTGACACCAGGACACAGGAACCGGTTCTATTGGGGGAGGTGACACCAGGAGAGAGGAACAGGTTCTGTCGGGGGTGACATCGGGAGAGAGGGACAGGTTGTCGGGGGGGTGACACCAGGAGAGAGGGACAGGTTCTGTCAGGGGTGACACCAGGAGAGGGACAGGCTCTGTCGGGGGTGACACCAGGAGGGAGGGACAGGTTCTGTCGGGGGTGACACCAGGAGAGAGGGACAGGTTGTCGGGAGGATAGCACTGATCGTGTCTGAGAATCAGGAAGGGAGAAAGGCAGAGAGATTGTGTGAAGACTGGTCTCACCAGAGTACTTATTTATTTTTATTTACTGCCATAGGATAAGCAACTAGGTAGTGTTCTTGACAGTTAGCTTTACCAAAATTAAAGTTCAAATTATATGTTTAACATATTGTAGCAGAAGATATATATTTATACTGGACTATTTTTACACCTTCTAATATCCTGTCTTAAGTTTGGGCGCAGATGCTGGGGTTGGGCGGGCATCATGCCCTGTGGCCTCCCCACCTGCCCATCGGTGCCACTGTCCTGGGCCCCAGTGGTGCCAGCTCAGGGCCGGCCACAAGCGCCCTGCGTGGGTGTCACCCCCACCCCGCCCCGCCTCAGGCTCTGTGGCCCCCTCTTCTGCGAATGGTGTTTCACGGGCAGGGGGCCCGTCCTGTGTGTTCACACACTGCCTGTGGCTCTGCGGCTGGAGCGGGGAGGTGGTGAGATGGAGACGCGTCTCTGTCCCTCCACGGGGACGGCGGGTGTGCTGGTCCAGCCCGTCTCCTCCTGCAGGCAACCATGCGTGCACTGGCCGCTCTCCCACCCTGCAGCCCACAGACGAGGGGACGGCACAGGTGACCGTGAGGCTGGGCTGCGATACGCCAACAGGCTAGAATATCTTTCAAACGAGCCTGCGCCTTTCCTGCTCTTACTACTGAACGCTGTGCGGCCTCTGGTGGTTCCGGGTGTGGCGTCTGTCCGTGAGTCAAGGGCACGTGGAGATGCTTTACTTAACTCTTTCTTTCGACCTCTTAAAAAACTAAACCAAGCCAAACCACAAAGGAAACCTGCACAACTCAAGAGAAACTTGAAAGGGATGGTGTAACTACTAGTTTGTACTAAGTTTTTTTCAAGAAAGGGAAACAAATTTATATATATATATATATGCAATATATTTTTACACTGTCTGATTAACGCTGGGGAGTACTGAGCGAATCACTTTATCAGCGTGGCGGGTGATGTCCACGTCCTGGGATCTGTGGAAGGCACTTCTGCCGCCGTCTGACCCGCACTCACGGGACGTCTGTGGGGTCCGTGGCCCTGCTGTCCCTCCTGCAGTGCGAGGTGTGGTGTCGCCTGCTGGACTTGCCGTCGAGCCTGGCTTGCAAACCCGTAGTGAAACAGCTCGTGTCTGTGTGCACACGGCCCCTGTGTGTCTGCTGTCGTTAACATTGTGTGTCACATTGGTCAAGTGACGAATAAATGTGTTAAAACACGGATTTCTCTGTTCCTTGGAGTGCACGGCGTCCGTGACAGACAGCGGGGGACGGGCATCGGAGGGGCTCAGGTGGGCGTGTGCAGAGAGAGACAGCGGGGGACGGGTACCAGAGGGGCTCAGGTGGGCGTGTGCAGAGACAGCGGGGGACGGGCATCGGAGGGGCTCAGGTGGGCGTGTGCAGAGACAGCGGGGGACGGGTACCAGAGGGGCTCAGGTGGGCATGTGCAGAGACAGCGGGGGACGGGTACCAGAGGGGCTCAGGTGGGCATGTGCAGAGACAGCGGGGGACGGGTACCGGAGGGGCTCAGGTGGGCATGTGCAGAGACAGACAGCGGGGGACGGGTACCAGAGGGGCTCAGGTGGGCGTGTGCAGAGACAGCGGGGGATGGGTACCAGAGGGGCTCAGGTGGGCGTGTGCAGAGACAGCGGGGGACGGGTACCAGAGGGGCTCAGGTGGGCGTGTGCAGAGACAGCGGGGGACGGGTACCAGAGGGGCTCAGGTGGGCATGTGCAGAGACAGCGGGGGACGGGTACCAGAGGGGCTCAGGTGGGCATGTGCAGAGACAGACAGCGGGGGACGGGTACCAGAGGGGCTCAGGTGGGCATGTGCAGAGACAGACAGCGGGGGACGGGTACCAGAGGGGCTCAGGTGGGCGTGTGCAGAGACAGACAGCGGGGGATGGGTACCAGAGGGGCTCAGGTGGGCATGTGCAGGGACAGACAGCGGGGGACGGGTACCAGAGGGGCTCAGGTGGGTGTGTGCAGACACAGACAGCGGGGGACGAGTACCAGAGGGGCTCAGGTGGGCATGTGCAGAGACAGCGGGGGATGGGTATCAGAGGGGCTCAGGTGGGCGTGTGCAGAGACAGACAGCGGGGGACGGGTACCAGAGGGGCAGAGGTGGGCGTGTGCAGAGACAGACAGCAGGGGACGGGTATCGGAGGGGCTCAGGTGGGCGTGTGCAGAGACAGACAGCGGGGGACGGGCACCAGAGGGGCTCAGGTGGGCGTGTGCAGAGACAGCGGGGGACGGGTACCAGAGGGGCTCAGGTGGGCGTGTGCAGAGACAGCGGGGGACGGGTACCAGAGGGGCTCAGGTGGGCATGTGCAGAGACAGCGGGGGACGGGTACCAGAGGGGCTCAGGTGGGCATGTGCAGAGACAGACAGCGGGGGACGGGTACCAGAGGGGCTCAGGTGGGCGTGTGCAGAGACAGACAGCGGGGGACGGGTACCAGAGGGGCTCAGGTGGGCGTGTGCAGAGACAGACAGCGGGGGATGGGTACCAGAGGGGCTCAGGTGGGCATGTGCAGGGACAGACAGCGGGGGACGGGTACCAGAGGGGCTCAGGTGGGCGTGTGCAGACACAGACAGCGGGGGACGAGTACCAGAGGGGCTCAGGTGGGCATGTGCAGAGACAGCGGGGGATGGGTATCAGAGGGGCTCAGGTGGGCGTGTGCAGAGACAGACAGCGGGGGACGGGTACCAGAGGGGCAGAGGTGGGCGTGTGCAGAGACAGACAGCAGGGGGACGGGTATCGGAGGGGCTCAGGTGGGCGTGTGCAGAGACAGACAGCGGGGGACGGGCACCAGAGGGGCTCAGGTGGGCGTGTGCAGAGCGCCTCCACTGGGTGGCTGAGAGCCGTGTGTCCCTGTCGCCCAAGTGAGTCTCTCGCTTCATCATTAGACAGGAGGACTGTGAAGAAGGAAGAGGCGGATCGGCCGCCTGTCAGGTATGAGGCCTGGTCTGGTGCTGGTGCAGCCCTGGGTGGGGTGTAGATTGAAGGGGAACGGATGTGAACACTCTGACCACCAACCACCGTCGCCCCCAAAACGGGTGATGTCATCACAGGCTGTATAAAGAAAAATGCCTGAAATACCACCCAGTGAACAGTTTTCCCAGACGAGGACACAGAGGCATTCTTAGGCAGTGAAAGGAGAATTTGCCACCAGCAGACGCTGAGAAATTCTAAATGCAGAAAGAAAAGGTGGTCACAGATGGTATGTCTGGTGTGTGAAGAAAGTAGAGCAAAGAGAATCAATAGGTAAATAATCCAAGTTAACAGCGACTGTATCAGTACTTTGTGAGATTAAAATGTTCTGTGAAAATACATGGAACCACCACAGGTAAGCAGAGGGGAGCCGGGGCTGGGTGAGAGCGCGGCCTGCACGCACACCTGGCGTAAGAATAAAACAGAGGCAGAGCACAGTCTCCAAACGAGCAGAGGGGGCGTGCAGGAGGGCGGGAGAGCATCTGAAAACGGCAAACACGGAGAAGGAGGAAATCACGGATCAGAGCAAACACACGAAATGAGACGGTAGATTTAAATGAGTGAGACGGCGGGTCCATCACATTCACTGATAAAAGCAAGACAGAACGCAGAACAGGGAAACTGATAAAATACTGTTTTAACCCCTACTTATTTGTAATTCCAGGCTGGCTAAGTATAGAAAGACCAGATCAGAACTTGAAACGAAAAGAAAGTGGAGGCAAAGGGTGGTTGTTCAAAAGGACTGAGGAGGAAGTTCAAACAACCAGTAAAAATGGCGAAGAGCGGGCTGGGTCCCCGGGAGGCAGACGCCAGGTTGTAGGGTCCAGCCCTGCAGGGTCCTGTGAGCCCCTCACAGCTGTGGAGACGAGACACTGGCTCGCATTAGGGCTGGGCTCTGCTGCTGAGACCCGGCTTTGGCTGCCTGGGCGTGTGTCCTCAGCTCCGGAGCCTGGGCACAGCCGGACGGCATGGGTGGCTGGAGATGGTCTCTGACCCTGCACTCCTTGCTCTGGATGGCAAGAACTTGCCTGAAGAGACACCACTGTCCTTACATCTCTGCCACAGGAACACAACTTCAAATGCTGAAGCCATGCAAATGTCGTTAAAGATTATGTGTATTATACTCCCCCAAAACTGAGAATTAAGACAATATGGACCAATTCGTAGAGACACATAACTTACAAACACTAACTCCAAAAGAGATGGAATGCCTGCTCAGACCCGTGACTAAGGGAAAGTCACTGCCAGCTACAGGGGAGACGCGGACGCCTCACTGGTGGGACACACAGAACTGACCACTCACAGCACGTCCAGCTTCAGCGGTACAGGAGATCTCTTCCAACGGAAGATGAGCGGGCTCCTGACCCTGCGGTGCGGCTGCCCCGGCCACTGGCAGGGAAGCTCTCCGAGTGGCACCCCAGCTCCCCACCTCGACCCCACACACAGGCTGTAGCTCAGAAGCAGCCACACAGCCCCAACCCAGCTCAGGGACACGCAGGGCCAATGAGGGGGACACGGGGACGGGGGACGGTCGTGTGAACGGCTCTCCCACGTCCGGGAACACCGAGTTCTACTGGATCTGCAGTCAGACCTCCTGACAAAGAAAGCTGCAGGCCCAGGGGACTTCACCAGCAAGATCCATCACACACCCATGGAAGGAATCACTACAATCTTAAGTAACTTCTGGAGAATGGAGAAAGAACGCACAACCCAGCTCGTTTTCCGGTGGTGTAAAGATGCGAAGCCTGGCGGGAACAGTGTTACAGAGGACAATCGCACGTCTCTGTCAGCCGTGAAGACAGAGGCTGACGCTGGGCTGCAGCAGCCACCCATGCTCAGGGTGCACCGGGGCCGTCCGAGAGTTCCATTCACGCCAACTCATTTCACCCTCACGACAGCCCTGTGAGGAAGGCACTGTTCCCGTTTCACAGACGACGAAATGAGGGCCCAAACACGGGGGTAAGTGGTACAGCCGGGCCACAAGATGCTAAACAACATATTCACAAACCAAATACAATCATATGTATGTAAAAGAATATCCGAAATTATTAAGTTGGGTTTATTTCAGAAATTCAAGGGTTTTTTTCACAATAGCAAATTATGGTTGTTAACCACATCAATATACTAAATGAGAAAAGTCATGTGATATTCTCAATCATTGCAGAAAAAAGTAATAAAATTCATCCATTCCCGATGCAAATTATTGATAGAAGAAGCTTTAAAACGACAATAAAAAAATCTATTACAAGTAAGCGGATAAATGGTGAGAATTTATCACCCTTTGAATATCCGGAACATGAGGCCCACCCTACTGCCGCCTCTCATCGGCACTGCACTCAGGGTTCTGACCAGTGCAGAAAAGCAAAACACAAAACAAAAATAAAAACATGAAGTGAAAATCCAGAGTAGCAGGAAAGGGAGAGAAAAGCCAGTACTCACAGGGAACGTGCCTGTGCCAGTGAGGAGAGCACAGCTGGACGCAAATCAGGAACATTACCAGATTGCTGGCTACGAGCTAACACACGACCATGGAATCGCCATGAAATGGCAACACGTAATTAGGAAAATGAAACCAAACACATTTTTAAAAACAGCACTGCAAAATAACAAGGACCTAGGATTAAATGTAACAAAAGACACACCAGAGCACTGTGAAGAGTATCCAGTCCTTCTATCCATCCGGGACAGACCCTGTATTCACAGTCCACATTCACCGTCTGTACAACCCAGTGTCCCAGGGGTGTCAATTACTCCCAAGTTGATCTACAGGTGAAACCCCAAACAAAATCTCAGCTCAACCAGCTACTTCTAAAATGCATAAACCCCAAGGGTCAAAAGCAGCCAAGATGTCCTCACTTCAGATGGAAGGATGCACCTTAGAGTGTGGTACTGGCAGAGAGACAGACACAGAAGTCACCCTGACGGGCTGGGCGCAGTGGCTCAAGCCTGTAATCCCAGCACTTTGGGAGGCCGAGGCGGGTGGATCACGAGGTCAAGAGATCGAGACCATCCTGGTCAACGTGGTGAAACCCCGTCTCTACTAAAAAATACAAAAATTAGCTGGGCATGGTGGCGTGCGCCTGTAATCCCAGCTACTCAGGAGGCTGAGGCAGGAGAATCGGTTGAACTCAGTAGGCGGAGGTTGCGGTGAGCCGAGATCACGTAATGGCACTCCAGCCTGGGTAACAAGAGAGAAACTCCGTCTCAAAAAAATAAATAAATAAATAAATAAA